GATCGCGGGCCTCGCTGAGTTCTCGGCCTGGAGGCCTTCTTCAGGCCTAGGCTTCGCCACGCCACCATCGCCGGAGTGGGGCTGCTGGGATCCAGGGACACTCCCGCCTCTTTTCTCGTGCTCCTAAAGGCCAGGTGGGCTAGAGAGCCGCCAGCGCTGTACTTTGTGTCCTGGGGCCAAGGCCGGTGTGGACTAGGGGTAGGAGGTGAGGGTGGACAGGGGCGGAGCAGCAGGCCACTGTACACTGGCAAGAAAGGACCTCGTAGAGAAGATAAAACTTGCTACCTCCACGGGCTGGCAGCCCCTGGCCCAGCTTGGGGTTACCGGGGCAGCGTGACTTCCAGCCCAGAGGCCTCCATTAGACTGATCAAGTTCGCGGCCGCAGCGCTGGCTGCCGAAGCGCGTGGAGCCGGAGACCTCGGCGAGCGCCAGAGCCTGGGAGCAGGGGGCCCAGAGCTGGAGAGAGAAAGCCGGGACCCACCGGCAGAGCCGAAAACAAGTGTATTCATATTCAAACAAACCGACCAATTGCACTAGGCAAGGAGAGGGAGCATCCAATCGGCTGGCTCGAGGCCCCGGCGCTGCTTTGCATAAAGCAATATTTTGTGTGGGAGCGAGCGGTGCATTTGCATGTTGCGGAGTGATTAGTGGGTTTGAAAAGCGAACCGTGCCTCGGCCTCATTTCCCGCTCTGGTTCAGGCGCAGGAGGAAGTGTTTTGCTGGAGGATGATGACAGAGGTCAGGCTTCGCTAATGGGCCAGTGAGGAGCGGTGGAGGCGAGGCCGGGCGCCGGCACACACACATTAACACACTTGAGCCATCACCAATCAGCATAGGTGTGCTGACTGCAGCCACTTCCCTCACCCACACTCTTTATCTCTCACTCTCCAGCCGCTGACAGCCCATTTTATTGTCAATCTCTGTCTTCTTCCCAGGGATCTGAGAATTGCTCTCACACACCAACCCAGCAGCGTCCGTGGAGAAAACTCTCACGAGCAACTCTTTTAAAAATACCATCATTTCAAACCGTTGTGGTCTTTAAGCAACAACAGGGGGGAAACAACAAAACTCAAAAAAAAAAAAAAAAGCCCAACCAAACAAAACTCTTGACAGGAGCTTTGACAACGCCAAGAGAAAGGATGCCTCTTAAAGGTGAGTCCGCTTCTTTCTTCTCAATTTCTATACATTTCAATATCCAGGCAGGTTTCTCCCTCTCCCTCTCTTCTTTCCTCCCTTCTCGCCGGTCCCCTCCCCCACTGCTACGCCTGGAGAGTCGGGCCGGAGAAGTTTCCACGCAGGAGCCCAAACTTTCTACTTCCAGCGAAAGCCCGCGTCGGAGGGTGACGGTCCGTGAGCCGCGGCGGCGCGGTGCTCCGGGCGGGTGACTGGCTCAACACCAGCCGAGTGCGACTGGAACTCTCGGTGAGCAGCTAGGCTCCAGGCGCCCCCGCAAACCGCAGCTCTCCGCCTCAGCTTCTCCAAAAGCTAGCGGTCAGCCGGAGAGGACGAAGTGGCTCCGCCGTGCCTCAGGCCGCGGAGAGCAGCCCCTGGCGATGCTTTTGTCCAGCCGGGGACGAGCCAGCGCGCATAGAGCGCCCAACCAGCCGACTCTCTGCACCACCTCCCGCCAACCCGCGCTCCGGCTTTGTGCAAGATCCTCCTGGGCACAGAACTACCCGCGGCACTCCAGCGCCAAGGGGTCAACGCGTCCTCCGCCAGCCGGAGCCGACTCTGTGGGCATCGCAGCCACGAGCTGGAGGCCACGAAAAACCCGGAGCTAGTGACAGCGGTGAAGGAAGCCACTAGGCCGAGGCGGTCGGATGCGCTCTCCTAGGGAGCTCCGAGCCGATCCCAAGGACTGCCAGCTTCCATCCAGCCCCAGGGCCCTCGCCTCCGGCCTCACTCAAGCGCAGAGCTCGGACTTGCAAGCAAATAACCTTTGGCTCTCCCGTCTTGCCACAACTCTATCTTGAGAAAGTTGGGGTGTTCCCTGCCCTATGGACTCCCACCTCCGGCGCTTGGTGGGTATTTTCCCATGTCTTCCATTGACTAAGCTGTACCCAGTGTTGCCATTTCAACAAGTTTCGAGCTGGAAAGGTGATTTGTTCCTCCCTTTCGGGTGTACTGATTTTTTTTTTCTTTGTGTGGCCTAAAGGGGAAAAAAAAATCTATATGAAAGCATTGGCTTTCCTTCTCGTCGGCTCACGTCCTCTCCCAGCTAATTAGTCTGAGTAATTCGAGAGCTTTAGGATTCTAAGACCCCAGGAGTAAAAGTGGCTTTTCAAAGTTCAGAAAGTTGTTGCCTCTTTCCCGGGGCAGATTTTCTCAGTCTCCCTGCGCCATAATAGCCTCGAATTTTAGCAAGTGTAATTGAGGGAAATGGAGTTGAATTTCAAGTGGAAATGCTTTCTTTTTCCGAGTGCTAAAAAATCTGGTCTTTCATTAATGATGCTTTCTGGAAAGTTTAAAAACAAATGAACTCTCTCTCTCTCTCTCTCTCTCTCTCTCTCTCTCTCTCTCTCACACACACACACACACACACACACACACACACACACTTCTAAACCACCTTGGATGGTAAACTCGAACTTGGGAAGGGCTGAGAAGGAGACAGGAGCAGGAAGTGAAATGAAAAGCTAAAATGTTTGAAAGCCTAACAAGTTTAGCAAAGAGAAAGAACAGCTTTTGCCGCTGATGGGGGTGGGGGGGTTGCTGGTGATCTTTGCATATGTTTGAAAGCAATTGATCAGTTGTCCTTTAGCCCTGGAGAGTAAACTTTGTCATCCTAATTGCTAATTTCTAGGAGGGGGATCAGGAGGGGGAGAAACCAAGTTTCTCCTAACACTTCAGCTAACAAATATGGGGGTGGGTTTTGAAATTTAAATAATTAAAGCAATAGCATAGAGTGAAAGCTCTGACTTGTGTTGGGGTCAGGGAGTGGGGAGGGCAGAGGTCCAATGGACTTGTGGATCAATATCTTGTGGCCTTGGAGATTTCTGATGACTCCTTTATTCCTGGTGCTGGTCTATGGCCCCACCAAGGAGATACAAAGCCCTAGCCTTTGCTTGGGCCTTGGGCTAAAGCAAAGGGGTCTAGCTTCTGTAAGAACAGGACTGCTTCCGGGTGCAGGGTGTGCCCTGCTTCCCAGGGTGCTTTTGCACTGAGTGTTAACGATTACTTAGGTAATTAGATAGCGTCTTAGAGGAGTGGAGGGTGGGAACCAAACAAAACCAGAACCTGAAATGCTATCACCTTCCCAATTGCTTGGAAAAGTAATCAGCTAGCTCTTTCAGAGACCAGCTAGACAATTTTCTAAAATGGCATCACGGAGGTCCCAGCCAGTAAGGGGACGTGAGGCTGTGAGGCTGTGTAAAATGTGGTTAGAGAGGAGTTCAGGGAGTTTTACTGTTCCAAGCAGAATTCTACTCCACCCCATCTACCTGCTACCTTGTTCAGCTTGAGTCCTATATATAGGTAAGATGGACATTTTGTTCTGGGTGGGATTTCTGTTCACGTTATGATCTTGGATTCTGGAACTGACCTAGAGATGGGGGGAGGTTTTAGGAGACTCAATTCCACTGGGGGTCTCTAGCCCTCTGTTATGTCCAGTTATAATCAGGGGAAAAGTTCCCATCCTGAACTTATATTTATGCATTTAAACTGCCTCTCAGTTACTTAAAAGTTAGGTCATAAAAGGTCTTGAAGAGAAAAATGGATTTCTTGGAATTATTTGTAGGGTGGCAAGATTAATCATCATCATCATAGTCCAAATCAGGAAAAAAAGTGATTTCTTAAAATAAAACAAAAATGATGCTGTGACTATTTCATTATTTTACATCCCCCCCCCCGCCTTTTTTTCCTGGGCATACCTCTTGAATGGGCTCTTTATTGTAACTCCCCTTTCCCAATTGAGCTCCCCACGGCGCCCTTGTATCTTTTTACAGCCCCTAACAACTCACACCAGCAACACAATTACCTTCAGATATTTATAACAAGAAATTACTTTACTATTTTCTCCACCGGTCTTCCAAGAGCCTTCTTTTTGAGGGAAGGTAGGGAGGGCAGGCGGACTGGAAGCATTGAGTCAGGACTTAAGTGAGTGGAGTACCTCTTTTCTTTTTGTGAGTTGGAGAGTTGTTGGGTCCTTTGCTTGGACCTGGTGTAGCTGGCTTGAGAGTCTCGGCTTTGCTCTTTGGGTTTGGGGAGAGCCGCAGAATAGAAGCCATTGTTTGGTGTCTGTAGACTTTGTCGACCGTGTTCACCCCCTCCTGTTTGTACTTTTTAAAGCAGCGAGGCGAGGTAGACAGCATGTGTCAGGGTACAGGAAAAGCGAGGAAGATCTAAACACCAAAAGCAAAGTTAATTGCAATAAATGAGGTTTAGGGTAAAAAGTTGGGCTTACCACTTGCTAGGTCCCAAAAGAGCTGAGAGACTGGTTGTGGGGGTCTGACTGGAGAGACTTTGGGAGGGGGAGGGCAGGGAATGAAGGATAAAAGAGTAACCAAAGAACTTAGTTCTAGGGGTCTTGGGACAATTGAGGTGCTGAAATTCCTTAGGAAGGGAGGGAGTTTGGTCTGAGGCTCAATCACCCAGACTTCTCTAACCTGAGCCCTCAGGCACCACCAAGATTTTAGATCCTCCTCCCCTCCACACTTCAGGGGTTAGTTGCCTTCCTTATTCCGCGCTGTTCCTCCTCCACCCTGTTCTTTTGGTTTAACCCTTCCCCTTTCCTTGATGTTTCTTAGTTTTGCAAAGCAAGATCACAGCTCTAGATTTTCCCCACGCCTAGCCAAAACAGCGTTTCCTGAAGGATATGGACTTCTGTGGGAAAGGCCACTGCAAGTGTGATGTCTTAGTGTTTCTAGACAGGAGGAGCTAGCCTTGGATTCATTTTGGGTGGCGAGTGGGCCTGAGACAACCAGTAAACCTACATCTCGGGGCCAATTTGACACACCTTACTTTCCCTCTGTTTTGTCTTAGGCAGAAGATTATAACCAAGGGCAAGCAGATGTGTGAGATCTTCTATTCTAAGAGTGGACATACAAACCAGTTTTCAGGCAAGTTCTATGATGCTGTTTGTGATTTCAAACCCTGAAAGTTTTGTGGTTTTTTCTTGTTGGTGGTGGTGGTGATTTTTTTATTTTTTATTTATTTATTTAAAAAAAACAACCAACCAACCCTTAGCAACCATTAGTTCAAGTGGAAAAAAACAAAAACAAAAACCGGTCATCATTTCTTCTGATTAGCAAAGACTAAGGACTAAAATATTTGGGGAAACTGATTGTGAATGTTAGATTATTTTACTCGCAGCTCGCGAAGTACATTTTGTATGCATAGAAGGGCAGGGCTAGGTGGACTCTCTGATCGCCCCAAACGGTCGACTATCTCAATTTCTAAGCAGAGGAGGAGGCACCAGGTCTTCCTCAGTATGAGCACAGGCCTACCTGTGCAAATCCCGGGATTAACTCCATTTTTTTTTTCCTAACAGAGCCCCGCATTCGAGCCCCGTGGGACCCGGAGGCTGCCAACCAGAGCCAGCATGCAGAACAGTGAGTGTCTTTGGTCTTTCGCTGAACTTTTGGGGTAGAGGTGGTGGGTTAGGGGAGCGTACTGAATCTTGGGCCCTGGGGAGTCCAGGCTACTGGGAGGGAGGGAGGAGGCCTGGAGAATTTTTCCCAACTATACACACGGTTCATGCCAAGTAGCCCGCTAGAGAGGGCAGGGAGGCATTTGTTCTACTGTGCTTCAGAAGGGAAGAGGCTGGGTCCCTTCAAAACTACTCGCCCGAGTTTTTGATGCTGCAGTGGAGAAACCCCACCCCATCCCCCCCCAAAATCCTGTAACTCATACCCCCTCCCTGCCCCTGCCCGGGCTCTGACCCCAGAGAGAGGGGCTGGGCTGAGCAGGGCGGGGCGAAGGCTTCTCCTGAGAAGAGGAGGCCCCTTTGGGCTTGGCCAAGACTGAACACCTCCTCCGACCCCAGGGGTGGGGGCCTTCCCTCCTCTAGTCAATCTCAGGCCAGCTTCTTCCCTCCCCATCCTAGCTACTCGCCTAGAAGGGAAGGGGAGTGGAACACTCAGAGCCGGTATCCTGACCGGGAAGTAGGGAAGTAAACCGCACAACCAGTAGAAAGCAGGCGTTACAGAGTCTGGGAAGAGTGGAGGCTGCCTGGAGCAGGAATTGGGAAAAGTTTGCCCTGGCAAGTGCAGTTCTCTGAGTCCTGCTTGTTCCAGTTCCTGGTACCTTTGATGCCCTAGCCTTTGTGCCTGCCTTCTCACCTTTGGCCAGGCCCTTTGGGCCCCAACCTTTCTGTTTAGCCAATGGCGCTGGTATGTGACAGAGTTAAGCCTAAAAGTCAGGCCTGGCAGCCAATGAAACTAGGACGGGAAAGGTTAAGATTAGGGAGTCTACAGAGGTTTAAAGATACAGCTGTGCTTGGCCGCCTAGAGAGGCCTAGGTCTTCCTGAAACCTGCGGTTGGTTGGGGAACTGCACTGGTTTCAGAGAGTCTCCCCAGAAGCTCAAATTCCTGTTCTGGAATACCTGGCTGCCCCATTGATGCCACAGGATCGGGGTGGGGAGCTAAACTCGGGAAAGGGAGCGAAGGGGGAGTTTTACAGGTGTATTTGTGCAGAACTTGTCAGACCCAAGGCCTTGGCCCGGGAAGCACTTCCCTTGGCGAAGTGAAGTGAATATCCTGAAGCTCAGACTCCCCAGCCTTAGGTTTTCAGGTGGGCCCAGGCGCTCAGCCACAAGCGTTTGCCACTCCTCGATGACCTGGCTGGCAGGCCCACAGGGGCACGGGTCGCGGGTTGGCCTGTAGGCTTTGTGCCGCTGGTTCCCGAGTGTGCGCAAGGCGCGGAGCATCCAAATTGACACCATATGTTTTCCTATTAGAAGCTTTGCGGTCGAATTCTAGGCGCATAATCATCGCCACTGGGCAAGAACGCCAGCAGTCCCTAGGGAAGGGACACAATGATTGAGGCTTAACCTCTAAAGGGGAATTTAGAGCTATGTTTCCTCGCTGCCATTTCGATGCTGGCAGAGGCGCCCTGGCCCACTGTCTCTCGGACCAGCTCATGCGGGATGCAGCTGTGGAGGTGCTGGCCACGTTATTTTTGCAATAGAAGAGGAGGAGAAAAAAAAAAATCTACGATTAGAGGCCTTGTAGGCTCTGTCATCTGTAGACAGAGGAAATTACCCTGATTCTGCTTGGAAAGTTTCTCTTGATTTCTCTGAGACGGCCTTTCTTTTTCTGAGAAGGCTTGCCCAGAGATGGGCCTCCATAACCTGCATAGTAAATGAGACTTAGAAAGCCAAGGTAGACGATAAAGATAATTTATGAGAAACTGGAAGCGCAGGGTAGGCCTTGCCCTGTTGGAGAGCAACTATCTCCAGCAAATGTGCAGTGTACCTTCTTGCTCTGGCCCGGGCCGGCCGGAGCCCAGATCCCTAAACGCCTGTCACTTTTCATCGAATTGAGGCCCCGCCCCCCCTCGGGGAGGTATATCCCCCCCCCCCCAGCCCCAAGCCTCGGGCTACCCTGCAAACGCAGCTCCCCTCGAAGGGTAGACGAGTGCAGTTCATTCTCGTCTGAGTGATCTACAAATAGGGACGGAAAGGGTCGTTTTATCACGGTCCCGTTTGTCGTGACGATGCAATTTCCCGGAGCGGAGCACTGTCACAAAGTGACAAGGCTGCCACAAGCGCCCCGACTGATCTTTTCAATTAGCCTTCCATGCATGATCCGGAGCGACTTCCGCCTATTTCCAGAAATTAAGCTCAAACTTGACGTGCAGCTAGTTTTATTTTAAAGACAAATGTCAGAGAGGCTCATCATATTTTCCCCCCTCTTCTATATTTGGAGCTTATTTATTGCTAAGAAGCACAGGCTCTTGGAGTCAATTTATCAGGAGGCTCCAGGAGAAGAGAGAAGAGAGCAGAGAAGAGAGGAGCTGGGAACTGGGAACCCCGTCTTCTCCTGAGAGGGCTTCTGTCTAGAGACGGGGCTGCAGGTTGGAGACGCCTGAGGAAGTGGAAAGAGGGGACTGGCTTTATTTGTGTGCCTGTTGTTTCGGAAGAGGATAATTCAGGGAGGCGCTCCTTCCCTGCCCTAAGACTAGACAATGGGATGAGATTGTGAGACCGGAGTTAAGGAGGGACGGCTGATACTGCGATATGGTCTTTTTCTCTTTCTGTTTTGGGTTTCGGTTAATATTTGTGTCTTTGGCTGAGGGGGAGGGCGGAGTTCAGCAGGGGAAGTAAAGCCAGTAGTGGCCGGTGCTGCTGTAGACTTCAGGCTTTGCTCAGCAATTGGGGCAGGCAGACCACACTGTGCATGGGGGGCTTCCAGTTCCATGTCTTCTGTGGAGGCACGGATTGGGGTTTACTAGCTATCAATTTGTCTTTTGAGATCTTTTCTATTCTACACACACGCACACACACACACACACACACACACACACACACACACACACACACACAGCGCTACATACTGTGTGCCTCTGCCAGAGTTAAATCACGATGCAAACGTTTTATGATGCTCTGCCCAGCCGTTGCAGGGCTTGGGATGGCAGTGCTGTTCTAACAGTGCAGGAACTACAGCGTGTTCTCTCTGATGACTCTCAAAGGTGGCGTTTAGGGAGGAGATTTTAAAAACTGTTGTTTGCCCCCTTGTGGGTTCCAAGCAGGTCTGGAGTCCTACGCAGGGGGCAATGGGTTCAGGGAACTGTTGGGGTGATGGTACTGGGTGGAATTGTTCCAGTCTGACAACAGTCCAATGGGCAGGGTCAATCTGGATTTGAGGCTGGGCTGCCTCAAATGCCCTGCCTGGCTGGTGGTCCTGTTGTTGGGTGTTTCTTTCTTTCTTTCTTTTTAAATTTTAAATCAGGACCTGATTGCTGAGGTTTGCACAGGTTGGCAGGGAGCTGAGGTTGCATTGTGCTTCTTCTTCTTCTTCTTCTTCTTCTTCTTCTTCTTCTTCTTCTTCTTCTTCTTCTTCTTCTTCTTCTTCTTCTTCTCTTTCTCCTCCTCCTCCTTCTTTCTTCCTTCTTCCTTCTTCTGTTCTACTTCTCTTTTTGCTCTCCTCTCCTCCTCCTTTCCTTAGGTCACAGCGGAGTGAATCAGCTTGGTGGTGTCTTTGTCAACGGGCGGCCACTGCCAGACTCCACCAGGCAGAAGATCGTAGAGCTAGCTCACAGCGGGGCCCGGCCGTGCGACATTTCCCGAATTCTGCAGGTGATCCTCCCGTGGCTGTCCCACTCGCCGCGCCCCCCACCCCTCAGCCCTCCACACTTTAAGCGTCCTCTCTTCATTTCCTACTGTAAATGCTAATTATGGCCCCGAACCCTCACTCACTCCATCCCAACCAACTCCCCTACCTTCTGGCTTTCCCCTCTCTTTCCACCATGGTCCTTGTCTATTTCAACCTCACTCAGTCAGTTACATAAGATAATTCATCTGCGTTAGAAAAAAATGTGTGAATTAAAAAAATATATCTTTGCATTTGGTAAAGACATTCATTATGTGAACAGTGTATAAACTGTAATGAGCTAAGTCATATAAATTGGGATAATCTCATTCTCCTCTCCCCATTCCACTATAACCTCAAATTTTAAGAGATTTGTTTGCGATTTTCATACATATGAAGAATGTATATGGATTCTAGAAGGCAAATGCTGTTTATTCCTCTAATTCACATTTGCTCAATTGAGCAAAAATTTAAGGGAAAAAAGGTAAAAACAAAATTCAATGATTTTTCCCTTTGTTCTTTACAACATAATACTATTTTAAGCAAGCTTTGCACAAAAAAATTAACCTGACTTCGTTTTGATGCATCTTCACACAGTGTTTAGGAACATAGTTTAAAAAGCTTTTAAAATTAATTCAAAGTGTTTGAAAGTATCATTATATTTGTAGTTTTAGGGCTACAAATGTAATTTTAAGAAAAAAAGCTCTCTACAGTAAGTTCTCGTACCATTGAAGGTATATTTTTGTGTTATAGACCCATGCAGATGCAAAAGTCCAAGTGCTGGACAATGAAAACGTAAGCTTGTCATTGTTTAAAGCATACTTAAACAATTTTATTTTTGTCTTGAAATTATTAATAATGTGGTTTTCTGTCCACTTCCCCTATGCAGGTGTCCAACGGATGTGTGAGTAAAATTCTGGGCAGGTATTACGAGACTGGCTCCATCAGACCCAGGGCAATCGGAGGTAGTAAACCAAGAGTAGCCACTCCAGAAGTTGTGAGCAAAATAGCCCAGTATAAACGGGAGTGCCCATCCATCTTTGCTTGGGAAATCCGAGACAGATTATTATCCGAGGGGGTCTGTACCAACGATAACATACCCAGTGTAAGTTCATTGTGAACCTTTGCCTTCCTTGCCCCAATCCCCTCACCACCTTTTCCTTTTTCTCCTTCCACTTTTTTCCCTCCCCGTGTCTTTTTTGTTTGTCTCCCCCCCCCCCCATTTACATGGGTCTCCACGGTACCAGGGGAATAGTGAGAGGTGTGCTTTGACTTTTTGACCATCTGGAAAATGAGAGTCAGGTGTGGGGAGTTCATTTGAATGCCAAAAGCCAGGGTTTGAAGGAACTGGGGAAAGACTTAAGTCGCAGAGTAATGACAATGAAAACCAGCTTGAACTGACCCCCACCCCCAGCACCTGTCTTTCAGGCAACACACATTTATTTATGCTCTACAATAAAATAAACCTGTAAATTAACTACAAATCTTTTATTGGGGAGGGGAGTCTTTGACCGCCAAGCAACCCAGTGAGTTAGGTTCTTAGTACTATCTAGGGAGGTGAAGGACTGCTCCTTCCTCTTTACCCAGCTTCATTTCCAGGAACAAAGTGATAGCTGCCATTCTTTCCACAGAGTAGCTAAAAATCTGGGGTGGCTGAGAGCTTTTGCATGTGTGGTGGGTCGTTCTTTAAAACCTGGGAGAGCTGAGCTGGGGACCGAAGGCGGGGTGACTGTGTCTTTCGGAGACACTACCATTTGGTTTGATTTGCAGGTGTCATCAATAAACAGAGTTCTTCGCAACCTGGCTAGCGAAAAGCAACAGATGGGCGCAGACGGCATGTATGATAAACTAAGGATGTTGAACGGGCAGACCGGAAGCTGGGGCACCCGCCCTGGTTGGTATCCCGGGACTTCAGTACCAGGGCAACCTACACAAGGTAAAACTCAAGCAGCCATCTTCCGGTAACTCTTCCCTCCTCTGGGCTCCCAGTGCGAAAGAGGGCACTGCCCTGGAAGGCTTGGGTACTCCAACTCCCACTTCGTGTAACTGGCGTTTATGAAACCATCGTGTTGGCTCTTGTTGACAGTGAGGGCTATGTATGTCAACAACGGTATGAAGTGGCTGGGAGGTTGAGCCTGTGTAAGGTCGAGCCTCCGTGGTGCCCTTTCAAATTTGACATTAACATTCAGTAGAGCCCACTTGCAGTACAAGTGTGACAAGTTAGCACACTGGCATCATTTGCTTTTGAAGTAATTGACAAAATTATAAGACTTTGAGTAAGGCGGTAGGAGAGGCTGAACCCCCTACATGCATGGTCGATTTGAAGATCGCCACTGGAAGTGCTGGGTCCCCTCTCCCAAGTTTAACAATTTCAACATTTTAACCCACTCACCCCCTCTCTGCCCGTTGGTTAGTTCCCGTTCTTATTCTTTATGGGTGGCAACTGGTTAGAAGTGGGGTAGGGAAACTGAGTACCGGGCTGAGGGTTCAGTGAAAGGTTCTGAGCCTGGGAGGATAGTTGAGAACTATATCGTCCAGTCCCAGGTTCCGTGAGAAAGCTGTCGGAAGAGAGGTGGGCGAGTTAGCTCTCTCCCCTTTCCACTCACACCGAGGTAACTTGGTCAAGAACAGGAAACAGTTTACTCCGAAGATTAATCGGTATTTGTTGTCCTTGTGACAAGGAGATAATATGCGGGATAATGGGACGTGGCGTCTCACTCCCGGGAGTACCACAGAGCCTGGGGGCTCAGGGCCGGGGGCGACGCAAGGCTGCTGAGACTCGGTGAGCTCTTGGATCAGGCCCGCGTGTAGGGCGCCTCCACAGTGCCGGGTTAGAGAAGGGAAAATCGGTAACAGTATGCGAAATATCTGGTACAAAGGATGCTTCTGTCACTTGCAAGAATTTGTTATGGGAACAATCCTGTCGCTCTGTAATTGCTCATTAGAGAACGTTTTGTTTCTCATTAAGGCGACATGAATAAGCGTCTAGTTGAAGGAGACAGCTGTAGAAATGTTCCACAAGAGACCTCTGGACACGATTCGGCACCAATTGCCAATTAGACATGTCAGTTTTAAGAGCAGAAAACAATATAGGACGGACACTGGGACGATAGGGAGAAAAACGCTCCTTTCTGGTTTCCCAGCGCCGCCGCTCCAGGCCAGTGCGGGACTTCCCGAGGCGCAGGCCCCGACTCCCCAGGGTGACCCTGCTCACGTGACCTCGAACCTGCAGCCTTGAGAGTTGTAGCTCAGAAAACTCACAGGTTCAGGCCTCTCTCTCTCCTGTCTCCAGTAAGACCAGCTAGGAAAAGATGTAGCCAACCCTGCACCGCCTGACGTTTGAAGCTGTAGGACTCCCGCACTCATACCCACGGAACACACCCCAGCGAAGCTGGAACTCCATCTGGTGACCTTCCTCTCTCCACCCCCAGCACTCCGGAGTCCTGCTGACCCCTTCCCCGCCCACTAGATCGAAGGTGTCTCGGTTGTAGGCAATAGGCCCAGAAGTTCAGACCTAGGGGGGCTGAGGCCAGAAGCCCCCATCCCTGGGTCTCCCTGGTGTTTAGGGCTTACGTTTGCTTGAGGATCAGGGTATGGGCATCCCCTTCTGTTTCCGTTTCTGAGACTAAAGTCCAGGGCAGTAGCTTCCTCTGGAGGTGGAGCGCGGCCCGTTTAGGGCAGTTTTTTTTTGTTTTTGTTTTTTTTTTTCATTTCTGGGTGCAGCAGAGCTACAGACAAAACCCTAAGGGCCTTGGTGGTGATCACTGGGGGCGAGAGGTGGCGCTAGTTCAGGGACTTTTAACTTAATGCAGCTAGTTACTAAAGAAAGCTGGGTGGTACACTTCCTAAGCGTCCTACCCATCCACCCTGTTTACCCCCCATCTAAGTGCTCCCCTCCCCCAAGACTCTCTGCCCCTCCTCCAGCGTGGGGAGGAAGCGTGGCTCCAAAGGAGCTTAGAATCTTGGGCGTGGGGACCTCGGGCTCTGTTGGTGAGTGTCGGTTTGCGAGGCTTAAGTTCCTGGGGATTCCTCTGGCCTTTTGGTGCTAAGAGGATCTCCCTCCCTTTCTGGCCCCCTTTCCCGGCCCGAGATGCTGATCTTAGGTTTTAAAGAGTCCATTTCCAGAAGCATAAGGAGAGGTTAGGTCTCTGACGGAGACAAATATGGTTTCCATCCGATCTACGCCACGCGGCGGCGAATAAAATCCTGAGGACGAGGGCTGACAATAACAAGATGACTCTATCCAGTCCCAGTTCTCCGGCGATTTGGTGGTTTTAGGGATCACGAAGATCCCTTTTTCCCATCTCCTCCCCTCTCCCCAACCCCCATAATACCCAGGCCCTCTATAGGATTTAGTCAGCTTCCTTTCAACAGATGCTTCAATGTTTTGATTCGCGCTCCAGAGCTGAAAAGGTTCCGCAACCGCGTTGCTATCTTTTCTTGCTTGTTTTCCGCCTCACTGATTAAGACCTGAGAAACTAAGGAATGATTTTACTTCCCAGCGTCTTTTTTTTTTCTTCTTCTTTCTTTCTGTTTCCCCCTCTCCCTCTCTCCCTTCTCCTTCTCCCAGGAACCAAATCCTGTCCCCAGCGTCAGATGGTCTTGGGGCTGGGATAATGGGAGGTGCTTTCACTCTCTGCTCGGATTAGGCAGGGAGGTGTGCGGCTCCCATTGAAGGTCCCTTCTTTGCGCCGCCAGGAGGGGGGACGCCTTTTAAAGGAGATATCTTAATTGTCTGCCACTTAGGTTTATCTTGTAGGGAATTAGAAAGCTCTAACTTCTATTTTTAGTTTCTTAAAAGATTTAAGGGTGGAAGGTAAAGCCACTAAAGAAAAACAAAAACAAAACAAAACAAAAAACCCCAAACAAAACCCCAAGCTTTATCTAAGTGACCACTCAGCCACCTGGCTGCAAACAGCTGTTATTTTTGAGTAATGAACGTATTTTCAGTGCTGTTCTCTGGCTTGGTTAAGATGTGGTGGTGGCGGCTGCAGCATTTAATCCTTATTGACTCTGATTCCACTTAAACTAAATATATAAAATATAATATATATTTCATATATATATAATATGAAAAGGAAAAAAGATATAAAATGCATTTTTCCTGTTCCTATATGCTTAATTTTTCTCCCTAAATATCACTCCCCAAGTCAGTGAAGGCCCTAGGCTTTTATCTCCAGTGCGTGCTTGTGTGTGGTGCCTGAACTTGGAGGGCGATGGATAAAATCCCTACGCTTTAAAATTAGGGTGACGTCAAAGAAGCAGATGAATGCTATCTGCAGGCATCTTCTGAGGGAGACCCCCAGCTTTGTTTAATTGGCAAGATACAACATGCTAGAGAAGGGACAGGGGTGGGTCCAGGGATTTTCTTTTGGGTGGAGGCGTGAGTGTCCAGGCCAGATTGTGTTTGTGTTTTCCAAAAGCAGTAACCGATGGACTTTTCTAGTAGACCCAAAGGGCTTTAAAAAAAAAAAATCCTCCACTGAATCTGACAATAAAAGGGACAAGCCATCTTCATCCTCTCCTCCCTCCCCCCCGAAAAACCACTTTAAAAAGTCCTCCAGAGACCTGGGGCAGCAAATTAGCACGGCCACTTGTGTGCCCCTACACGTGAGTTTGGCGTGTCTCCTCCAGCAGCGACCCTCCCCTCCCCCACCCATCTGATGTAGGGCAGGACGCCCGCGGCTTGTTTACCAATACAGGCTCCCTCCTTCTCCTTTTCGTCTTTTCTCCCACCTCAGTCGACCCTCCAGTCTCTTTTTCCTCTCCACATTTTCCCCGCTGTCCCTTCTTATACCTTTTGGCCACCATCTCTTTGGAATACCCCCACCCCGCCCTTCCCCCAAGCCATTCTTTCCTTTCCCTCCCTACTCTCTTTAGCCTCTCTTCTTCCGCCTCCCCTCAGCCCCAACTCTAGTCCTCGTCCACCCTCTCCACCTCCCTCCACCCCCTGCCCTGGCCCCCCATCCACCACCATCACCACCCCCTCCGCCCAGTCAAGCGCCCTAAATAGCACCGAGGCGCCCGCTCTCCGGACAGTGATTAATGACAGCAGTGCAGAGGGGTTAACACACTTCGCTGAAAAGTCTGTTGACTGGGCGGCTTGTAACACAATGTGGCCCGCTGCACGCCTCAAGAGAATCCTTTTGTTGTCCGTGCTCATTGTGGCCTCAAAATTCTGCCCACGAAAGTTTGCCAACGCTCCTGCCCCAGGAGTTTAATAGTTTCCCTTACTCGCAGGGCATTGTGTGGTGCTGAAAAGCAGCCCCTCGCTATTCAAGTGTTGGTGGTCATCTCAATAGATCTCCAAGGGCCCATATGGTGGCCAGTGCCGATGAATCCGCCTGTTTAAATGGGGGAGAAAGTTGGGGTTTTAAAACATTTCAAAGTTCCTGAAAAGATCCCACTAGATCCTGTCACAATTCCCTGAACTCTTTGAAGGCGCTGCCTATTGTCTCCTGGTTATAAATGATATTCCTGGCCAAGTCGATTCCCACAGAGGTCTGGCGGCCCCTCCCCCCAAACTGGCCAAGTTTCTAGGATCGGGAGGGGGACAGTCGCTGTTGGTATCCAGTAGGGACCACAGGCCTCAGGACCCAAGACTCAGCCTTCAGTGCCCTGGGAAGCCCAGCCAGGGATGGAATTTCCTTTTCACAGGCTGCCTCCTTGCAGGCAAGGTGCACGGCAGAGCCAGCTAGCCCAAGTGCACATCTCTCCACCAAGCGCAAAGGAAAACAATGAAACTTTCCCTGTTTAATGATAGAAATTACATTAAAAGTGGTGGAAATGCCCTAATTAAAAATGTACCACTTAAATGATAGGCCAAGGATTCAGCTGCGGCATAGCATATTTAGCTAGTTAGTGAACTCTCCACGATTTCTTTTTTAAAATTACACGTTAAAAATTTAAAAGAAATCTTACTTTTCTCTGGTGCAACACATTACAAAGAATGGACAGTCCTTTTATCTAAATATAAAATTCCATTTTCAGCAATTATAGCCCTGTTCTTGCTGATGATTTAATTGCAGCTGTGTCGGAGTAGGTGTCAAGGCGAAACGCACTCACACAATGGTTGAATAAAACTGCAGAACAATGCAAGCGCTTCTAAATTCACAACCTTTAAAATGAAATTGACTGTGCAGAATTCAAATAAAAACTAGATAAATATTTTTTTTAAAGATTACAAGCTTGGTTTGGTTTCTTAATAGCATTTTCTACAAACCTATCAACATCTAATTGATTAGATAGGAATTACTGATTATAGATCAGCTGAAACCTTGCACATCACTCTATTTCCCCAAACACAGCCATAGGTAAATCCTTTCTGCAGGGCTGGAACTGGCGGTGGCCTATGGGGGAAGTCAGTAGTGAAAGATCCTTTTGCCTGGAAACTTTTTGGATTGCTTTGTCATTCAAGGAAATGCTGTGAGAGGACTGTCAGGTCTCATCTAGATGAAAACATAAAGGAAATGGATTCAGGTGACAGCGTCCTTCCGGGAAGGCTAACTCCTGATTACCTTAGCAAGGCTTTGTGGGGACTCAGACTGCCTAGTCTTTGGAGTTTATAACTATCGCAAGTCCCATTCAGAGTCCCCCCACCCCATGTCAGCCCACTTTCTGTTATTGTCCCATTCTTTTTGTTGCAGATGGCTGCCAGCAACAGGAAGGAGGGGGAGAGAACACCAACTCCATCAGTTCGAATGGGGAGGACTCGGATGAGGCTCAAATGCGACTCCAGCTGAAGCGGAAGCTGCAGAGAAATAGAACATCTTTCACCCAGGAACAGATTGAGGCTCTGGAGAAAGGTGATGGGGATTTTTCAAAGCGGGGAAGTCTTAAGTCAAAGTAAATGCCACACCAAACAGCACAAAGGGCTAAATTTAGCAGGGGTCCTTTGCATAAAAGACTGAACCCCTCCTTTCCTCCTCCTCCTCTTCTGTCTCCCCCCCACCTCTGCACATCTTCTCAGGGGGGTGGATATCCACGTGCATTTTCTTTCTTTTCACATACCAGTAAGTTGAAAGATTCAAATTCTGACATATAAAGAAAATGATGTTCTGGCTGTCCCAGGGTGCAGATGGTAACACTCACTGAATATCATTCCAAAGAAAACTTCACTTAGTTCTGGCGGGAAAGTTCTAGCAAGTACAGACAACACACTGTAGAGTTATTTGAGAGGAAATTGGTTGGAGGAGAGGGCAGTGGGGTGGCAAAAGGCAGTTTGATCCAGGGTTCAAATATTTTTGTGTAGTTCCGTATTAACATGTAAAACCGACTTACTCTTCCAGAGTTTGAGAGGACCCATTATCCAGATGTGTTCGCCCGGGAAAGACTAGCAGCCAAAATAGACCTACCTGAAGCACGTATACAGGTACCTAGGGACGATGTGGCTTTTATGCATTGAGTCTTATTCCTTGCCTTGCCTGTATACCAGTCATTTCTATAACTAGTGACAGGGTCAGTTTGCAAAGACCCTCTTGTGCTAAGGCACGGTGGAAATGGAGGCGCTTTTGTTTGTGGCAGAGATGGTAGGGAGCACAGGGCTAACCTGTTCCCCACACTTCCAGGTATGGTTTTCTAATCGAAGGGCCAAATGGAGAAGAGAAGAGAAACTGCGGAACCAGAGAAGACAGGCCAGCAATACCCCTAGCCACATTCCTATCAGCAGCAGTTTCAGCACCAGTGTCTACCAGCCGATTCCACAGCCCACCACGCCTGGTAACTTGAAGTGTCCACTGCCAAGAAAGGTTCTTAAATCTGTTTGCCCTGGGCGCTCATTCTGTAATGACATCCCCCCCCTCTCTTTTCTCGTTCTCTCTTCTCTGCAGTTTCCTCCTTCACATCAGGCTCCATGTTGGGCCGAACGGACACTGCCCTCACCAACACGTACAGCGCTCTGCCACCTATGCCCAGCTTCACCATGGCAAACAACCTGCCTATGCAAGTAAGAGAGGCTGGCCACCTGCTGCACAGGACCAGGAATGGGTTAGGGCTTGCAGACCCCATCCGCTGCATTTACCCCCTTGGGAGTCCTTCTTGTGACAGTGATTGGCTTGACCAGTCAACTCTGGGACAGTCAATCCAATCTCTTTGAGATGATTGATTGACTGATTGATTCGTGCCCTTGAAAAACAAACACTCGATCTGTTCAGTCAAGTTAATGTGCCTTTTATCATCATGTTAACTGGGTAATTCTGGGTGGCAGTGTGAGTCTGTTTCGGGTACCAATGAAGCTTGTGCCATAAAGCGGAAATAATGATGGCATAATATAAGGTCCGAAGATGTCAGTGTGTAAAAACTTCATGTTTATGTTAGTATGTTCATATTAATAAACAGAATCAGCAGAAGTATTTTGATGATTACTTTTGGTCCATGTGAGAAACTAGTGAGGAAGAAAAACAGTGGGCTGTGAAGTGAGATTCCTCTTTACACAGTGAAATACATTTACTGAAATAGGGAAACTAGTTCTTTCTTTATTTAAAAGTAAACATGTAACAGAAAGTGTTTGCTTGAAATGTAATGTGTATCATCTGTAGATGATGTGGTAGACGGGTGGTAATCCTTGCTGCCTACAAAGCTGATGGCGTTCTCACTGTAGTACCCTGGCCTGTGCTCTTAGGGGCAGGTCCTGGATTCAGCTGGCACTTTCTAATGGTAGATGTACAGGCTCCGGGGATGTACTAGACCTTTGGGTGGATTCTTACTGGGGGATTCTTATGGGTCTTCTGCACCAGCATTTCTAAGTCTCCTGATTGCACAACCATTAGATAGAGATGGCTGATTGTATGAGCTGGGTGCCAGAAGTCAATGCTGGAAACAGTTCTGGGGTTACACAGATTGTTCATAATCCATTGAATATCTTCTGCCAGGTTTGGAATTCAAATAACAGCAAAATAGAAGTCTCCCAGTCTTCGGACCAATATTGGGACAGCTAGATAGAAAACTCTAGAGTATTTATTTACATGCTTCTCTTCTATGTCGCTTGGTTTTTATTGGCCATAGCACAACTGACATACATGAAGGGACCAACAGTCCATTAGTTTGTGTTGCTGTAACCTGGAATTTTCCAGAAGTCAGGTTGCCTAGAGGAAGTGATTGCAGGAAGTAGAAACAAATGCAAGGTGAAATCCTGGCAGGGCCCTTTTGCCTGCTTGCCTTTTAAAACTTGACATGAGCATCTGACTTTAATGAGGCCACTGAGTGTTGTGTGGTGTTATATCTTATAGCAACATCTAGGTGTCTGTGAGCGTGACGTAGTGTGCACATGGAAAAACAAAATGGAATAATTAGATAGATGCTGGATTGTATTAAGCTTGCTTCTACATATAAAGAACTATGTTGGGTTGATTGATTTCAAATATTGATTTTCAAAATTTATACAGATTGTACAATAACAAAAGTAAATGGCTTTATCGAACAAGGAAAATAAAAAGGATCTGTGGTTTCACAGTTCAGAGAAAACTCCTCTTTAAGTTTTGGAATGGGGAGGGGTGGTCTCTCTGTCAGTGGCTTCATCCTGTTGACCAAAATCCCCTGTCTTGCAAAGAATGGGCGTCTTCCTCTGAGCCTTCTTCAGTGGGTGTCAGTCTTTGTGAATGAGGATTTGGGGGTGTCAAGCATGTGCAGAGCAGAGCTATTGCTGACACTGGGCTTCCGATTCACCTCATCAGTTTTCTGACCTACAATAACCTATGAGGACTCCCATGGGGGGATTATCCTGGCTCTGCCTATTTCTTTATTTCTTGTTTAGTTACAAGAGAAGTTTATCTCCTCAACGTTTCCATTTTGAATGCTTAGAAGACAGCAACACATCTTCTGGATGTGACTCAAACAGGACTTTGGGGTTAGTTAAGAAGTCAGTTAATTCTCAGGTCATGCTTAAGTTACGATCATTCGCTGACATTTCTGACCTCTTTAACCTCACTCCATTATGGTTGCATATTAAAACAAAACAAAACAAAACAAAACTTTACTCCTCCAAGTCCAGCACTGGAAGATTCCCAAAGTTCCCTGATTCCTCCTATTGCTCTCTTCCCCAAAGCTGAACTAGGGAATTTGGGGATCTTAGCATTCTCAAACAGATCTAGGTTTGTGCTAGGAACCCCTTGCACAGGTAAAGAGTGCAGACTGCCAACACTGACTGCGTGTTTGAATTTATTGTCCTAGACATTTGTCACACAGGTGGCTTTGCTCTGGTGGTGGCTGATGATGAAGGGTCAAGCTTAGACTTATTATATGGAATTCTAGTACATTCCACGGAGGCATCAGTAATGACCAGGCTTGCTGGCAGAGGCTCTGTAGAGCAGGAACCCCAGGATGGGGCTGTGTGGTGTGGTTCTGGTAATCACAGGTTTCTCTTTCTCTCGGCAGCCCCCAGTCCCCAGCCAGACCTCTTCATACTCCTGCATGCTACCCACCAGCCCTTCGGTAAATGGACGGAGTTATGACACCTACACCCCTCCGCACATGCAAACACACATGAACAGTCAGCCGATGGGCACCTCGGGGACCACTTCAACAGGTGAGCTCTGTAGTTGCGCAGAGGGGTCTACTGGTTCTCTTTAGCCAATCCATCACCTCAACTGTTCTACAGATGATTTGAGAGGAAACCTCTGGCCTTGCATCAAGGGGCGTGGTCAACATTTTACTGCTCTTGCCTTTAGAGAAAACTGACTGAAAAAGGAAATTCAGTTAAGTTAGTGAGTTGACACCATATAGACAAAAGAGATGTCATTTATGGTGGTGAATTGATCACAGAAACCGTGTATGAAGACAAGGCCCAAGATCAAATTTTCAGAAGACATCTTAGCCTGAGCTGGACAGTTGAGAGGGTCCACTGAGCTTGATGTGGGTATTTTTGGAAGACTTATACATCTTCTAGCTTCTTGATGCCAGCTGAAGAGGTACCACCTAAGTCTTTCAGAGATGGCTGTACTGAGAAACTTCTAAATGTGGGGGAGGTTGACTTGGGTTTCATGAGGTATGTGTGAACATAGTCTCTAGTTTCTAAAGGTCTCCTTTTCTTTCTAGTGACTGAAAGCTTTTTATTTTAATGTAAAGAAAAAAAGAAGTATTATGAAGTGCCAGGGGTTTTAGAAGGTCTGTGTGTTCATGCTGCCTGCCATCTTTCGAGTCTACCCTTGTGGCTATTTTTTTTTCTTTATTCATTTACAGGACTCATTTCCCCTGGAGTGTCAGTTCCTGTTCAAGTTCCCGGAAGTGAACCTGACATGTCTCAGTATTGGCCCCGATTACAGTAAAGAGAGAGGAAACCGTGTTCACTCAGTCAGTGACTATGTGGACACAATAGTTGGGTGTTCAGGAAGGAAAGAGAAATGGCTGTTAGAAGCACTTCACTTTGCAACTGTGTCCTGTATTGGAGCCCGGGAATGGACTAGAAACAAGGACCTTTGCATACAGAAGGCACGGTATCAGTTGGAACAAATCTTCATTTTGGTATCCAAACTTTTATTAATTTTGGTGTATTATTTGTAAATGGGCATTTGTATGTTATAACGAAGAAAAGAACAACACAGGCTGGTGGATCTTGGATCTGTGTTGGCTCATGTGGTTGTTTAAAGGAAACCATGATTGACAAGATTTGCCATGGATTTAAGAGTTTTATCAAGATATATCGAATACTTCTACCCATCTGTTCATAGTTTATGGACTGATGTTCCAAGTTTGTATCATTCCTTTGCATATAATTAAACCTGGAACAACACACACTAGATATATGTAAGAAATATCCATTGGTTTTCCAAAGGTTGTTAACAGATGAAGTTTATGTGCAAAAAGGGGTAAGATATAAATTCAAGGAGAAGTTGATAGCTAAAAGGTAGAGTGTGTCTTCGATATAATCCAATTTGTTTTATGTCAAAATGTAAGTATTTGTCTTCCCTAGAAATCCTCAGAATGATTTCTATAATAAAGTTAATTTCATTTATATTTGACAAGAATACTCTATAGATGTTTTATACACATTTTCATGCAATCATTTGTTTCTTTCTTGGCCAGCAAAAAGTTAATTGTTCTTAGATATAGCTGTATTACTGTTCACAGTCCAATCATTTTGTGCATCTAGAATTCATTCCTAATCAATTAAAAGTGCTTGCAAGAGTTTTAAACCTAAGTGTTTTGAAGTTGTTCACAAATACATATCAAAATTAACCATTGTTGATTGTAAAAACCATGCCAAAGCCTTTGTATTTTCTTTATTACACTATTTTCTTTTTAACCTTATAGTGTGGTGTTACAAATTTTGTTTCCACATTAGATTAACATCCTCAAACAATGGTTAGGTTCCTATACACTCCATTTTATAACCTTATGGTCCTCAAGGAAATAATTTTTACAGACACCAGAAGTTGACTATGTATCAGGAAAAAAAAAACATTCACAGCTCTGTGAATCTGCATCCTACAACAAGTACAGAAAATGGTAGTCCTTCCAATTTATCCATTTATTTCATTTAAGAGCCCAAAGTGTAGAAATAATTTTAAAAAAATGCAACATGCGATTCCTTAGGAATCGTGTTTTGAACTGAGGCTGGCATTTTCAAACTGGGCCACAATAATTTCACTGAAGTATATTCAAAGGTTGAGTTCGGAAACAAGACTCTCGGAAAGCTGCTGCCCTCTCAGACAACACCTCTCCCTATCCTGTCTCCCTCCTCTTTGCACACGAGGCACCGGTTCCCATTGAACCCCTACAGCTGTTCCCATTTGAGTCCTGCTTTCTGTGCCGCTGGGGCTGGTTGGAGGGTGGAGGGGGAATGTTGCATGTCAAGGAATAATGAGCGCAGACACATCAACAGACAACAACAAAGCACACTGTGACTGGCCAGTGGGAGTTAAAGGCCTTCAGTCATTGGCAGCTGAAGCCAAACATCCCCAAGTCTACGAAGCAGGGCCCATTGTTGGCCAGTTGTTATTTGCAGAGAAGCACAGATCTGATCATGTTTAAAGTGGCGGCACGCAGGGCAGGAGTGCCTGAGCCCAAGCAGTGGATGGAAAGAAGAAATAAGCCTTTGTTGGGTAGAAAAAGGCCTGCCTGGCTGTTATTTTCTGTCTGTTGTGTGCAACACTTAAGTCAAAGTAGACATATTTTCTTCAGGGAACTGCAGTGAAAAACATGTGTGTGGGGCTCCTGACTGTCTGGATTAAAAATATTCATACATGGAGAAATGTCTGGGTACACACTTCCATGGACTCAAACTCTAATTTTTTTTAAGTCCTAAAGACAAATGATAAGAAATAAATGATTTGAGGATTTGGACATCTCCCATTTGGTAGTTATGCTATCGCCTATGAGCAAATGACTTAGATCTATTAATTTTTTTCTAGCAGAATTGCTTTATGTTTAGAGATGCCATCCTAACTGGACTGCTATTTTTGTGTGTGTGCTTGTAATCACTGTCCGTGTCAGCCTGCACTGCCTGCTGGCACACATATACTACTGGTACAATCGCCCTTGCAGACATTTCTGCCTCCTGACATTTTGCAGTCTCCATTCCCTGAGGGATGTGTGTTGAAGGAACTGTCAGAGCAGGGCTGTCTGTGTTGCAGCCACTCCTGGCTGGCTTATTTCTTCCTCAGAAAAAAAGAGCAGTTTCTAACTGGCTGTGTTTGGGCTGGGGTCAGGCAGTCTGTGCTGGCCCCCGGCCCTGCCGAGGAGAGCACACAGACGACAGAGAATGGCACATGGAATTCGGGGTGTCAGATCTGGGAGTGATGTGAGGACTGAGGCTCTGGATGTGTGCAGCTGGGCACGTATACAAGTCCTCAGAGGGTCAAGATTGCCAGGGTGCAGTGACACAGCCTGGTATGTTCTGAAGGAGGGATGCTCAGCTGTGGAAGCCTCTGGTCCAGCAGGATGAGAGCAGCAGCCTTGCCTTCTGTCCGCATGCACCCTAGAGAGATGAGCTGTCTGTATCCCAGGCTGTGTGGTTCTGGTGCCGGGTAACTGGTTTTTGACTCCCAGTAGTCACTTTCATTTGTTTATTTACGGACGGATATGTTTTATAGATTTTGCAATGGAAAATCTGCAGGGATGTTTTAGTGCCATTTTCCAGGATGAAGACCAAATTTTATGACATTCTCTGTGAGAACAGCTCACGTTTTATCTCAAGGTTTGACTAACTTAGGGACATCAGGTGAATGGAATCAGGTTGAATCACTCTAGATCAGTGTTTCTCAACTTTCCTAACGCTGCGACCCTTTAATACAGTTCCTCACGTTGTGGTGATCCCCGGCCATAATCTTATTATGGCCTTTGATATTTCATAACTGTAATTTTCTACTCTTGCGAATTGTAATATAAATATCTGATATACAGGAATGATCCCTGTGAAAAAGTCATTCAACCCCCCAAAGTGGTCTCAACTCACGTGTTGAGAACCGCTACTCTAGGGGAAAATAACTTTGCTTTGCACTGCAATGAAATTCCAAGGGCGTACTTTCCAACAATTCTTATTCAGTGGTGAACAACTGGCTTCTCAACACTGCTGACATCACCTCCTCTTCCTGCTTAAATGAAACGTCACAAATGGGTTTCCTAAAAGTTCCATGTGTGGTGTTAACGTTTAGCTGCTTTGTTCTGTGCACGTTTGCGGTCACAGGATGGCACTGACTATCTCTATTCACGTCTTTGTGCTCTGGACCTTAATGTTCTCAAGAAAAAGTGATTTTTTGTTTTGTTTTGAGGGGGTGGTCTCTATATTGAGCTTATAGATGGCAATTACATATTATTCTGTTTTTCAAAAACTTTTTTTTGCCTTGGTCATAGATGAATAAACTGCTTGCTCATTTTTCAAGTTCAAAGTGTAAACCTTTAAGGTTTATATTGCTTCATTCGGATACTGTTGATGGTGACTATCCTGGGAACATAGTAATCTGATGTCTTAGAGATGACATTAATAATGGGCTTAACTGATATGGGTTTCCCCACACACCCTTGCTATAGGTGTATGTCCCATTCATTAAAATTAAAAGACAGGGAACCAACAGCAGGATATCCCTTGCTTTTGAAGCATTTTCATTTGTTCTGGTGTTAGTACTAGAAGGTTCTGGGTGTAGTGTTAAAGAATAAGTAAAAAATAAGTTAAGAAAAGTGATCTTGCTTAGTGGCTATTCACAAAAAATGCAGATGGTCTCAAAGCCCTTTACCTGAGCAACCTATAGTAGTCAAAATGTTTACCTCATGTTAAGGAAAAGCAGATATAGTACAGGGATGAATACCAGAAAGGGCTTTGGGCTTCACACACTAGAAGTACTGAAAAGATATAGGGATATTATAGATCTTCTATTTGACAGTATTCTCAAGTATTTATATTCCAGAGAGTTTAAAATATATGAGTAGAGTATACATTTTATAATGCATCAGTAGGATATGCATATATATATATATATAGTGGCATATAATATACATATATTAATGTTTGTATTTTGAAGAGCAATATTTTCATGTGGGAAGTTGGGGTAATAGAGAACAAATTATCTCCAGATGAAGGAAAACATATTTTTAGAATGGGTTTGTATCAGAGGAAAACAAAATACAGCACCGTACAGCTGTGTACAACAGCAGCGTCTTCTTCCTTATTATTATTATTATTAAAATGTGCTGAGAGAACCTGAGAAACAAAGTGATAGATGTAGTGTTTTGGAAAGTACTCTATTTATTGAACAGTTCAAAATGTTTAATTTCTCCCTAAACTAAGGGTTCAAATATGCTTACTCAATTTCTAGGGAATTTATCTATTTGTAAAGCTCAAACCTACTAATAGTTGACCGTTAAATTTATAGATGTCGTAGCCAAGAAGCAGACCAATGACTTATTAAGTATTTCATAAGCAATCTGCCTATCCAATGGCCTCGTCCTTCCTTTCAGAGTCAGATGCCATGGGATGGTGCTGTGGTGTGTCTGTGTGGGATGACGCTCAGCAGGGTAAGAGGAAGGTTAGTTATTACACCAGTCAAACACTCACAATCTGTCAGAGGATGGCCGGGCTTCTGTGGATACTGTGCAACCTGACTTATTATCGATGGAGGAAATCAATTTTTTGAAGTTGTTTTAAATCTTAAAAGTACCTCTCCTCAACATAAAAGCCCTTTAATTTTAACTGACAGATCAATTCTGAAACTTTATTTTGAAAAGAAAATGGGGAAGAATTTGTGTCTTTAGAATTAAAAGGGATAAAAAAAATAAATCAGACATTCTAAAAAAAATAAAAAAATCACCCTGAGTTTTTTTTAGTGCTAATGAAGTCGTGGTGACAAAATAGTTGTCTTTTTGATTTTATCACAAAAAATAAACTGGTAGTGACAGGGTATGATGGAGAGATTGACGTCCTGGCAAATCACTGCCATTGATTCAATTATTCTAATTCTGAATAAGAGCTGTATACAGTCTGTGTTTATGCTACAGTGGGCTTTTTTTTTTTAAGTGACTGACATTCATCATATTGGTTAGACAGTTTTAAAGACCTAGTCTTTGTTTTCTACAATGTTGTGAAGAGCAAATAGAGTATAATTTGTGGTATATTAAAAGGAAGCTGCTTAAGATGTTAGTTAAAGGTGCTTCAAAATATTCTAATTTATTTGAAAATGTATTTTGGAAATTCAATTTCTGCCAATAGATGTTAAACATCTTTGAAAAACCTTGAGTCTTTAAATACATGCCAGGTGCTTTTGACCTTTCACTTTGTATCTATGGTCTGTCAAACCCTTCAAGAATATGGACCTATGGCACAAACCCTAGTGTCTTACAGGAAAACTTGGTCCATATGCTGTGTTCCCAAGACACATTACATGGTTAGAGACTCATTAACATGCTCAGCCAATGCTCATAGTTAACAAAGGGTTTAGGGAACACAATGGAAATCTGAGTTCGGTTCAGTTTTTCACTCTGTCTTAGACCCGCATTACATAACCTGTTCACCGGGCTTCGTGGACATCTCTGGGACACCAGCATTAGTGTTGACATAATTTCCCAGCACTGATGTCAGTCACAGAACTTTACATCAGCAGCCTACCCAGCTGCTCTGTGCAGTCCATCACGTGCTATGTGGGGTAAGTAAGATGAAATCCCCCAAATATGACTTTTGCCTTTAGCACTTTAAACAACAGGATGCACAAATGCAAACTGTTTCATGTACTAGCAAACAAAACATTCTTTTAAAAAAGTCTTAACAGTTTTTGGTGACCTTTTCAGAAAAACAGAGCAATGTATCACACACGGCTTGAAT